TCTCACCAGAGCAGAGCAGAGGGGCAGAATCCCCTCCCTCGACCTGCTGGCCACACTTCTCGTGATGCAGCCCAGGATACAGTTGGCCTTCTGGGCTGCGAGTGAACATTGCCGGCTCATGTCCAGCTTTTCGTCCACGAGTACCCCCATGTCCTTCTTGGCAGAGCTGCTCTCAACCCCTTCATCCCCCCAGCCTATTGATACCGGGGGTTGCTCTGACCCAGATGCAGAACCCTGCACTTGGCCTTGCTGCACCTCATGATGTTCACACAGGCCCGCTTCTTGAGCTTGTCCAGGTCCCTCTGGATGGCATCCCGTCCCTCAGGCTTGTCAACCACACCACTCAGCTTGGGGTCATCTGCAAACTTGCTGAGGGTGCACTCGATCCCACTGTCTATGTCATTGATGAAGATATTCAACAGTACTGGTCCCAATACGGACTCCTGAGGGATACCACTTGTCACCGATCTCCATCTGGACATTGAGCCATTGACCACTACCCTCTGGATGCGACCATCCAACCAATTCCTTACCCACCGGACAGTCCACCCATCAAATCCATACCTCTCCAGTTTAGAGAGAAGGATGTTGTAGGGGACCGAGTCAAAGGCCTTACAGAGGTCCAGACAGACGGCATCTGTAGCTCTTCCCATGTCCAATGATGTAGTCACTCCATCATAGAAGGCCACTAGGTTGGTCAGGCAAGACTTGCCCTTGGTGAAGCCATGCTGGCTGTCTCGAATCACCTCCCTGTCTTCCGTGTGCCTGTCCTGGAGTCTTTTTGGTACAGAAGAGGAGAAGATGGCAACATAGTCCTTCTTCACCTTCGGACTTCACTTCTTCCACCTTGGTCTAGATATATTGGTATTTAGACCCTGTAAAAAAGACATTCCTTTTATACACAGATTTGGGGGGAGAAAGGATATCAGTAATGAATTTGTGGGCACAGTGGAGTGCTGCAAAGGTCTTGTACGTTTGGCAGTTGATCTGGAAGAAGATACTGATCTCTACTAAGATCTAGATTTTATGGTTGTTATGAAGTAAAGCTAAATAAAATCATTTTCCCATGAATAAAAATCCCACCCCTCTGTTATTCTTAGGAATTTGGTTTCCATAATGATAGGCTAAGTCCTTCCCTGTGCAATGCCTCCTCCGCCTGACTAGCAGGAGGCAGTGCCCGCTATAGCCATAGCGTTACTAATGAAAAAGGAGGTGTTTGGAGATCTATGCAGTGTGCGGAAGGGGAAGTATTGCCCTCTTCAAGAACAAATTCTGTATTTAACTGTAAATTACAGCCTTTACAAAATTAACCCAAAACTTATCTTCCAACTAGTAGTGGCTGTTTGCTGATGTGACAATGTTTGGCGGTTGTTTATTTGTGCAGTGGAAAATGGATCATGGGTGAAGCTCTCAGTCTGAATAAGGTGGCTTTTCATTGATGTTAATGTTTATTGTGATACCCATCTCTGTATGAGAATAAGAAGTTTGTTTCAAACTAAATGCCAGGGGTATCTACAGGAATTCAGAGCTGGTTGGAGATTCCTTTGTGGGGAGAAGAGAGAGGGATGTTGATGTTATTTTTGAATGGTAGCATTAGAAAACTTTAGAGTTCATTATGGCTACTGTCATCAGATTCAGGATGTGTTTCTGTGTCTAGGAGTTTATAAATCTTGAGGGTAACAGAAAGACAGACTTGGAAGAACACAGTGGTGTTCATATGGGTGAAGCTGTAGGCCATTGAAGGCCAACATGAGTGGCTTGTCCTCCCTGCACTCATATTGGCAGCTCACTTTCTTGGGTAAAGAGGAGTGAGAAGTGACACTACCGTGAGTTTTAAATCCATTCATTGGAATAAACAAGGTTGACTTTTTTTCTCTTTCCTATTCCTGTGAAATACAGGTTTTTGAGATACTCACACTATCTAGAATTAGTGATGTTGCTACAGTAGTAATGATGGCTGCTGCTTTTAATCAATTTTAGGTGAGCTGAAATCCTTGGCCCCTCTCGACCGAGAGAAAATCCCTGCATACAACTTGGTTGCCCGAGCCACAGACGGTGGTGGCAGGTTTTGCCAATCAGAAATCCATCTTATTTTAGAAGATGTTAATGATAATCCACCAGTGTTTTCATCTGATCACTACACCGCATGCGTCTATGAGAATACAGCCACTAAAGCTTTGTTAACAAGAGTCCAAGCCACGGATCCTGATGTCGGTAAGTGAGTAACGCTGCAAACAATAATTAATGTTCAGGAAAACTCTGTGGGTTGGTGGAATTGCAATACAGATTAATTGTTCTATTGCTGCCTTTCCTCATTCTTTCCTCCTTTTGCCTCTGCACCCTCCCCGTTTTTCTCTCTTCTGTTTCTTTACATTGAAATGCTCATGGCTGAGCTTGACATAATGGTGTTACAAACAGAAAAGCATTGCAGCAGCCACAGAAGCATGTCGTCTTTTATTGTCTTGATCAGTGATAGCTATATTTAGGGGTAAATGAGAGTTTTGGAGGTAAATTCCAACTTTCATCCTCCAGTGGTCTCACCTCTTTTCTTGAGCCATGATTTTGAATACCCATGCCTCTGTTTATGTAAATAATATAGTTACTTGCCATAGGGACCTATACATGATTAATCACAGCTTTTCTAGAGTTTTGTACTGCTCTAACTCCCATTTGCTCCAGCTGGTTACCTTAGCATAAAACTATTGTTGTACCCTATGAATGTACATTATAAATGTTCTGGTTATTTAACTGTGCATTCATTTAAAGTGTAATAGTTCATTATATGAGGACCTTAACCTTGAAATCTAGGCCCAATTACAAATATATAAAGGGGTTTTTTTGCATAACACAATGGTAAAACCTACCAAATATCAGATTTTTTTTTTTTTTTTAGCTTATTCACTTCAGTTGGAATAAATAAATCCCATAGTTTATTTTTCCTTCCTGTGGTTTTGGAGATGTTTTGTAAAAACTGTGGCCTGAGTAGCTTCACATAAAAAGCAGACCTTTCATTGAATGAAAAAATATTTCATGCTAAAATCTTTTTTTTTTGAAGTACGGTGCATGCTGAAAGTCTCAGTTGTTAAAAAGGCTGATGATAATGTAAATATACAGGAATCAGTAAAGGAGCAGCAAGCATTCATTAATATATCTGTGAAGAGCTGCATTATATGCCTTGGTTGAAAAATCACAGTTAAATTTATGATACTGTCCTGCAGTGAAAAGCCAATTAACTGGTAGTAAACTACTGAACAGTCTGAAGACCCAGTGTTGGTTTCCACTGTTGTCTTAATTACCATTTTTCTCATATGTGAGATGACATTCAAGGAAAGAGGGGAGACAGAATGAATTAGAATAAAAAGTTGTCAATAAAAGTTCTTGCTAGCACCAACTTTACGTAGTAAGATGGTTAGCAATGAAAAAAACCCATGAGCTAGTTGCTACATCTTCCTTCTGAAACTAGGTAAGTTAAAGGGAGGAATGCATGTGATGAGTGAGAAGGGGCTATGTACTTCCTTAATGATTAGACCTGAAAATCAAACAAGACATTGTATCATATGAAAGTGACTCTGGTCTCTAAAACTGGATTTTATATTAATTACTGTTCTATTAGTCCATACTAAAATCACCGATTCCCTATTGCTGCATAATGAATGAGTTCAGGTAGTGTAATGTTCCCATCACAGTGAACAATGTATTATTGATATTCCTGATGGGCTATGATATTCCTGTAAGGTTTTGTGGAGCATTATCCTGAAAACATCAGTGGAGCCACTAATCATCATACAAATCAATTTTTAACATTCAGGAAACATCTTGCGATCAGTCTTACAATTTGCCCGTTCTGCTTTGGGCTTTGAAGAGCCATGTACTGTAAGGATAGGTGTATCAGTGTAGAAGCCATTGAGATAAAACTTGAGAGAAGTCAATTTGTGGTCTGCAACTAAACACAATTTAACATAAAACTGAAAATATTGTGGTCAGACAGGTGGATAATTAAGACAATTTCCAGTTAACAGGAAAATAGTGTTATATCTGCCTTGTGCCTTTGAGATCTCTTGAAGTTCCTGAACTCATAATATCCTGGGAAATTTCAGGACTGGAACATAAATTGTTGTTTAATATAGTTGTAATTTGGACACATGCTTAGAAACTAGCTGTACCAGCTGGACACACTGAAGGAGAGACGTGATTCTTCTTCACAATATTCAACAGAAGAAAATGGCTTTAACTGTTTAACTCTAGTAGCACACAAGTTCATTTTACATAAACTCTCTATGTAGCTAGGTATCTTAAATTAAATGATCACTTGAAGGAGAGAGAATATACATACGTCCCTTTGTTAAGACATATTAGTAACTTTAATATAAAACAATTCTTTCTCCCATCCCGCTTCCTTTGGAAATTCTTAATATTTCCACAAGATAGTATTTTCTACTAACTCACCACCATCAGGTTTGGAAATGTGCAAACTAAGAAATGAAAGAGAAATGCTGGTTTTACTGGTTTTTAGAGAAGTTCACAGGGAGCAGTGGATGTTCCACCTCCCACTGTCTTCAAATCAAAGTGCCAAAACTCCATTCTGTTCAAATTAAGGCACAGGAAGAGTTGGAGTGAATGCTGAGGTGCAATTATCTGAGGAAACCCATCAGACAACTACAATATCAGCCCATTTCAAAGGAATTAGGGTCATGCTAGAGCAGCAATACTGAGAAAACCTACATGGGACTTTGTAGCAAGCCCGACATTAAAAGATAGGTAAACTTCAAAATAAACCTGGAGCCCAAACCTGAGCTGCAGGTGCATACTCATTTCCAGTGCTGCTCATGTTTTCTGCATGCATACAGTGTTGCGGCCTCGCTTGCAGAACACGAGAATGAATGACAACATGGTCCAAGCTCAGCAGTGCTTTAAGTGATGGCTAAATCCTGCCTCACTTGCAGCTTCTTTGCCTTGCGAATGACCTCCATGCTCAGGCCTGTTTACGTGATGATTGATGGTGTAGTCTACCAAAGGCAAAAGCACTTACTGCACTAAATATGAACAGTGCGTCATCTGTCCTTCTGCAGTCCTCTTCATCACCACTGGGGCATCAGCAGTTCCACGCCATCCACATTTGTAGTCAGTTTAGTGATTTCACTGACATATTGATTTTTTTCTGGGTTTGTGATCAATATGGGGTTCTAATTTTGCTCAAAATGGGAACATCCTTGTCAGCCAGCCTTGTCTTGCCTGCCACTGCTGCCTTCCAGCCCCTGCATTATCCTGGGGTTAAAGCCATGGCTGGTACCCGCTCGTGCAGGTCCTCCCCCATTCCGTGCACAACCAACCAGTATAGATGGACTAGGTTGTCTTGGAGCCAGCACCTTGTATTGCATGCAGTCAACGTGCACGAAAACACAGACATGTAGGCAGAAAAAAAATTGGCAGGAGTGGCCTTTATTTGGTTGCAAAGAGTTCCCGAGAGTGCACAGACCTCCCTGCTCTGTCCTCAGCTGTCCCTCACCCCCACACCCCTTCTCCAGCCCCAGGCCCCACGCAAGTACATTGCTCTGGAGGTGTGGTGACGTGCAGCCTGCAAGGAGCCAGCTGGTGCCCAGGTTACGGTCTGGGTAGCCAAATCTAGGAGTTTCTCAGAGACACAATTCAGACTGATCTGGTTCTTCCTTGAACAGCAGTCACATCTCAAAGAGCAAAGGCCCACACCCGCTTGGCTGCCCAGCCAGGCAGTCTTCCTTTGCCAGCTGCCCTATTCTTTGACATAGTTTTGTCCATGCCTTGTATTTGTCACAGTTCACAGTCCCCTTCCCAGCAGACCCTGTGTTCTCTTGCCCCATTTTTGTGGCGTGTACAAATAGCAAATGAGTCAGGAAGGGCCCTCGGTGTGGGCTGAAGGTGAGGACCACAGGGTTGTGCGTGGTGACAAGTCAGAGGTGAAGCGCTTTGGACAGCCTTGCTAGAAACGTGTCTCCTGGCCTTGTGGATACAGAGGTGTCATGCTGCAGGGTTCACAGTCACAGAATGGTTGAGGTTGGATGGGACCTCTGGAAGGTCATCTTGTCCAACCACACTGCTCAAGCAGGGTCACCTACAGCAGGTTGTGTAGGACTGTGTCCAGATGGCTTTTGGGTATCTCCAAGGATGGAGATATTCCCTGAGTGCTGTGCAGCACGGGCACCCCAGGGGCCTTCTGGGAATAACCAGACACCTGCACTGTGGATACAGACAAAAGCATAACATCCTCTCCATGACCTGGCAGAGCAGTGCAGGCAGGAGCAAACCCACGCTGATGCCCTTTCTGACTGCCAGTTCTTCCCAAGCTGGACATAATTCAGAGAATAAGAATTAATGGCAGATGAGATTTTGCAGAAAGTGTAGTTTGGGAAAATATTGTCCCATATCTAATAGCAGATTTAATCGCATTGAGTAATGCAACCTAGAAAAATAATAAGCAGTGTGCTACTTTTTTCAAAGCATTTTCTCACTTCTGTGCATAGGATGCCCAGAGTTACAGGTTCTGCAGGGTCCGTAACCTCACAGCAGAACACAGAACGGTCTGAGGTTTATTCATCAGTTTCAAAAAAACCATCCAACTAGTTTGGAGGTAGAGAGATTTCAGTGATGACCCTGGTTTTTTGTTCTTTGTTCTCTGTATTTGAAGCTTTGGTACTTAGGTAGGTGTGAACAAAAAAAATGAGTGTTGAAAGCCTAATTCAGGGAGCCAGGATAGGACTTGAGGCTCTCCCATAGATAAATTTATACATTCAGATTATACAGATCAATTGTGATTGAATTTGGTTGTGTTTTTTAAAGAGTTACATCGAGTTAAATATTATTTGGACAAGATTTATGAGAAGGATTCTGTAGTCATCTGATTAGTGCATTTGTGTTTAACAGAATCATAGAATCATAGAAT